GGGGAATGGGAATGCCGATAGGAGCGCCCTGTTAATAGGCGTGAACGAAGGGAACATGCGTTCCTTGAAGCGTACCAGCTCTATCATTGTTCAAGGAGAGCCAACAGCCCATAACGAGGCTCCCCATACGTGGCATGCCGAGTGAGGCTCCATAAGTTGACCCGGTTTATATGCTTTTCTATCACTCTGACATGCAGTGTCGAATTCTCAATGGTTAGGCTAGTTTCCTGTTAAGATATTGACACCGAGAAAAAGAGACACGAAATGATAGTCAGATGAGGAGGAGTGTGCAGAGCAAGCAAGCAAGCAGGCATCACGAATGCTCAGAATATCCAGGGCCGGTCTCGTTGGTACACACACTTCGCCTCTATCGCCAAGTTGATGAATCCTTCCTCCTGCAAGGGTCGAACACGGTTTAACAAACACGACTCATCTATGTCTAGCGTAGCCGTCGCTGGTAAAGAGATTCAAGGCTGTGGCAAAACAGCTGAAAGTGGTGGGCGAGATCCATAATTCCCCAGAAGCCGCCTGGTTTTGTATAGCTGATTTTGTCCATCGTTACGGCTCTAGTAATATATTCGAATGGCTAGACCACAAACGCTGGAAGCGTTTGAGAAAAGCATAAGCCGGGTATCTCTGTGATTTGTTTTGCGCGTACGGATACGCCGACATACGGCACCTCGTATCCTTGAGAATTGATTGTCATGAATGGGCCTTAGCATCAAGGCCCTGGACCAACACCCTACAAGTATATGTATGTACGTAATTTTCAGTCAACGAGCGTGCCCGACGGATAATAGGGGAAAGCGTGAAGCTAAATGAAGCAGATAAGTTGATGGAAGACGGCGTTCTCTCTCATACCCGCGGGGTGCGTCACACAAACTTAGGCACACCATCATGGCCAGTCTAGGATCAATAGCTCGGTTATGATGTCGTGGCCCTACTAGAGAACAGAACGCAGCGGGAAGGAATGAGAGACGATGAGAAGGGGGCCTTGTGGAACGAATGGCATCGGTGCCCACTCCTCTGAGATGGAGGAGAAGGATTAGTGGCTTGCATCTCCATCAACACTATCGACCAAAGTGTACGCACGAATAGAGCCAAGTCGAACAACGCAGCGATGCCCAAGTGGAAGCACAAAGGCCGAACGGATTTCAGCAAATTCATGCACCAGAGTCAAAAAGAGCCTCAAAATCCTTGGGGCACTGCTTGTTATAGGCCTTTGTAGACCCACTCAAGATCAGCTTTTCTACATATGGCATGAAGATGATGACTCGGCGGAGCCTTTTGTAATGCATGTTGGTTGGACGTGCCATCGACCAACAACGTTTCTCAGGCCAGAATCCGGAAAGGATGCATCACATTGGTGTCAGTAGTGCCTGACTCATGTAGAAACTAGATATTTCGGCCATTTGCCGGGCAGCTCAATCGTGAGGAGTAACGTATGCTAGTAGTACATGCAGTATTTATGCGATGTGCATGTCATACCACTCGCACATCGCGCGAGCATATCTGCTGCTTTCAATGCATCCAGGTCGCCGACCTTTGATGCGCTTATTTTCATTAGCGGAAATCGCTGCTGAGGCGCCAGAGAGATCCTGAGGCTTGCGCTTCCATCTTCCTTCATGCAAGCGTAGAGCGGCGGCGCTTAAGCTGGGGTGTAGTGGTGGCAGCTCCAGTATCCAGAATCATACAATTGTGTAAGCGTCTGCCAAACCATTGGCCGGGATGCCGATTAGTCCAGCTTCAATCCATAGGGCATGTCCATTGAATCCAGCGCCCGCCGGCTGCAGAAACGACTGTGGCCGCAGTAAATGGCCGCATTAGACAATGCAGTATGAGGCCTAGAGGCCTAGATTGAACGAATGCAGCGCTGTGCTGGCGCCGTAAAGAAGCGCGCTCATGTATATGCAGCCTATCAAAAGAAGAATAAAGCTTGGGTCCTTTTGAAAGAGGCGAATGAAATAGAGAGAGGCGGGAAGAATAACCGGTGGCCCTGGTCTGGCCTGCTTCGGACGGTCATGCAGCCAGCGCTTGTTGCTACGGTTCCATCGCGAGTGCATATTTGACCACGAGTGACTAAGCGCCGGCTATTGCTAAAGCTCGATGTGAGGGTTGGGTAAGGGAATGGCGCCGGGACGAAACGAAACTGAAGTTGTCTGGAGACGGAGAGGTATTCTTCGAATCCAAGGCTTGAGGTGGTGATGCTCCATAGAGCAGCCGATGCGCGCGCATCCATGCATCGAGAAGACGCTGCCAGATCGTGGGGGCTTGCCTGTACGATGATTGGGACTGGAGAGACGGCGAGAAGCGCTGCGAGACACAAGGTCGCCCTCTATCTTTTCTCAATGAACGAGCGAGTGGAGTCGAATTATTTGTTGTATTTTGTTGTATCAGGACGGCAGGCTGAGAGAAGGTCAATTTAGAAGTAACTCAGGTCTGTTAGCTGAGCTGATCGTGGAGATGCCGCCGGGGTTTCTCCCAGTAGCAATGTGTCGTTGCCCAACAGCTACACCTGGTAGAACATGCTTGACCCCCCGGATCGTCATCCTCGTTCGAGATCCCCCAGCTGATTGACGATGGGTTCCAGCGACTGGGCTGTTTAAGCCACCCCCAGAAAATTGTAAAGACGAAACCGGTAGCGATACGCACAGACAGAGGCATAACAACCTCTGTGCTTTTGGCAGCTTCTTATTCTGGGTCTCATTTCAACAGACCCAGTCCAGGTGCTCTCTCGCCGCATGTGCCCGCTCTGCATGCCTGTGTTCTTTTGTCCGCTGAGTCCAGCGCCGAGCAGTGCTCACCACCACGCTCCGCCGTATTGCTGCAGCTTCTGCTGTCTCGACTCCGCTCCCGATGTTCGTTTCTGGGCTGGCATCAGCCTCTGGGACAGGCGACAAACGTCGCGTCATTATTCCCCGGTTTCAGGCCCCTCCCATCCTTGGGCTCAGCAGCCACGCGAGCGGCGAACGGTACCACCAGCCGAGAGCCAAAGTTGAGCGAGAACTGCATCATCCATCGTGACCTAATTGCTGGGAGCTCACGACGAGGCTAGTTGCCTGAATCACCGACCGGGCCAAAGCTTAACAGGTCCCGACCCAACCAAATCCTCCATCACCTCCAGGCCCAGCATCGCCAGCCCACTGCCAGCGACTTGTCCCCGAGCTAGGAGCGTCCGGCCTTCCCAAGCCTCTGGGACCAAGCCAGCAGTTCGCGCGTTGGCGTCGCCGGGAGAAGTGTCATTTCGCTCGCTCTCGAGTCTGCCCTGGGTCCCGAACCGCTGGCCCCTGGCCAATCAGCTGGACAGCGGCGGCTCGCGCCCATTTGCTTCGTACTCGGCCGTCGAATCACAGTCGTTGCCGACGACCAAAGCGGCCTAGCAGAGGCGCCCGGAGATCTTCCCCTTGAGCCACAAGACCTAGGGCAGGTTAGTCAGTCCAGTTGGCCGTCTGTACGGCGCACCCCTCAGCCGAGGGCAGTACCAGCTGGCATCGTTTTCTTTGCTTTTCTTTTCCGCTTTTCTTTTCGGGAGAGGGCTTTTTCAATGCCTTCACTGTCTCTTGCCTTCTCTTGCAGCGTGGCAGCTGAGAAACAGCCAAGTTTAGCACTCGCAGCTCATAGTAGTGCCTCGGAAACTTGTCGAGGCCAGCTTTGATCGCGCATGCTGACGGTCTATTGTTGGCAACGCTCTTTCTATTACTGTAGATTCCGTCTGTTAGTGCTTGGATAAGCCCTGTGGCCTGGATAAGCCCTGTGGCCGCTGCTGTAGCGGTCGAATGCCCTGTAAGCACAACGCCTGGCAACGTGTACCCGCCCAGTACCTTTCGGGATGGCCTACAACCTGCAGTCACCGGCCACCGATTATGCGCCGCCAAGGTCGCATCGAGGTACCCGTGCGCACGCCCCTCGGCTCCGCGCTGCTTTAACGCCCAGCGCCCCTCTGGTTCCCCCCTTCCCTCAGTGCTGCCTGCACTTTGAGCCTCTCATCACCATCACCAACGAGGTGCTGCGCAGGCAGAGTCGGTCACTCTTTCCCAGGGACATCCATGCGACTCCTCCCTCCTCTGGCTGTTGCTCTGCCCAGGACTTTCCTTTTCATCAGGACTTTTCCCTCGCCTCTCCTTTTCGTATTCTTCTCCTGCAACTTCAACTTTCCATCATCCTGGGCCTATTATTCGTCTCTCTCTCTCGCCGTTCCGTTTATTCGTTTTGTTTCGGCGCCAAAAGGCATTCGCAGCACGGCGCATAAACCATCAAATTCAGTCTGGGTCGCAGCCAATTTGCTGCTTGCGCGCTCCATCTTCCACTCCATCCCCTGCTCCCACCCCCCTTGGGAAATCCTTTCTGCGTCGTCCAATCCGCTTGGCCATCGGTAACCTGCAATAGGCGTCCAGCGGCAGGGATCTTCCAACGCCTCCCACCCAGGCCACCGGCGCATATCCAAAACACAGCCCCTGTCCGAGCCTTACACTGCCTGCTGTGCGTTGACTGGCTCTTCTCAAACAGCCAAACCCCGTCTCGCCTTTGCCGCCAAACCCCTCGTCGGCCGGGGTGTTGCTGTCTCTGACGCTTTCAACTGAGGAACACGCCTCCCTAGAAACACGCCCCGTCCACTGCTTCTGCTGCTCTGACCACGGCCAACGATCCAACACATTATAACCACCGCAGCCTGCCTTCTTTCGTCCCCCGCCAAACTTTTCTCTGGCTTCATCTCGTTGCTTTACAAGTTCTCAACAGTCTTCGATTTACGAGTACCTCTGGCTAAAGCTCTGAAGCCTCAAGGCTTACAAGCTGCCGCGGCTGCTGCTCACCCTCTGTCTTATTCACTCGACCTACTTTGCTCGACTCTAGCTAACAGCCACTACAACCCACCAACTCCCACTACTGAGTACAAAGGAAAATATAAATCCACCTGCACCTGCGCATATACCTCGACTTGTATATCGCTGCTATCATCCCATTCGACACCCGCGGCTATTTCAGCGACTACTTCTGCCATTATGCCTGCAGCAGTCACAACCAGGCCCAAGCTGGGCAAGCTCTCTACTCCAGTAACGAGCACATTTCCTCCCGATATCAGCTCAGCAAACACGGCTACTCCTCGGTCTGCTCTTTTTGCCTGCAAGCCTGATCCTAGCTACATCCAAACACCGATCAGTCCACCATTGGCCTACACCGATTTCCTCTCCAAGGCTCTAGGATCGCTCAACTCGCCAGCTCTCGCACCCGGCGAAATTTCTCCCGAGTCTGCACCGACGTCTGCTGCTAGCGACAAGTCGGATAGCTCCTCAGTGGACGAACGTCCATCTCCAGCTTCTAGCGCTGCCAGCAGCAAACCTCCTTCTCCAGCATCGGCAGTTCCCCCAACTCCATTCACCGCGCCGCTGCCCATGTCTGCACCGGCAACTGGAGCAAATTGCTTTCCTAGCCTGAAAGTGCCGCCTAGCCCTGCCATTTCTAATCTGGATTCTCCCATGAGCTCCCGACTCATAGGCTCCCCGTGGAGCGCTCGGTCGATTCACCCTGTGTTTGACTGGGACGCTGCCCTCAAAGCCCGCCTTGGAGAGACGAAGAAGCAAAAATCCTCGCGTGTTAGTGTGCGACACATTCGTGAGGTAGTGACGAGGACTGTCACTTACACCCCAAAGATGGATCCTGCCCCCCGAGGCAAGCGACGGAAAGTTGAGTGAGGAACGAAAGTGGGAAACATGCTTCGACATTCAATCCCTTCGCACAACACTTCAATACTTTGCACCGACCCTAACTCCTCATTTGCCAATCGCAATGACATCGATCTACATATTCTTTTAACTACCATCACACCAACTGTATACCAACCATGATTCGACAACACAAGGTGTTTTCATTTCTTGTCTTGATGACTACATCTCCCTGTGGGAGACAACAAAAGCATGATCGGAGAATTGGAAGGGCGAGCTGCTTCCAATTCACTTCTTTTTTTTACGAAACCTTCAGCACTAATACGCTGGCCGCAGCTGAAGTCGACGATGTGATGGTTAACTATCTAAACCTAGGCGAGTCCTAGCACGACACTATTACTGGCGTATCATGGACGAGTGGTGTGGGGAGTTTTCTTTTAATTTTCTTTGTCACTATCACCATGCCGGATATCTCGTTTCTATTAACATACTCCTCCTCTTTTTGTGAGGAATTGCGTGGGTGGAGGCTTTTTTTCCTTCATGCGGAAGAGTCAGGGATTTTCCTTGAGGAGTTTATGGGCGTTTCCCACGGACACAGCGCCCGACTGACGGGCGTTTCTGCAGCGCCTGGACCGGCTCGATACTGAAGCCTAGACTGTGGATAATGGTCTCGGCGGGGGCGGCAGAGGGTCAGGCGATTCTGCGTGTGTCACCGGAAGCGGGAACCAAGAGGGGCCGATGGAGGCAGCTTCGTTTTTGAATAAGACGGGCAGCCAGCTACGCATCGCATACGCCTCGATGCTTGTAACACATATTACTATATATACACTATTTAGAGACACAAAAAAAACATTGAACAAAACAATTCAGCGGGTGTTGCTTTGCAACCAATCATTCTTGCGAAGACTGCTTTGACTAGCTTGATAATCTCCGACTGTAACGCAAAGCCGAACATGGCAGATGCAGATTCTATTGGCACATCGATCTTTTTTTCCCACCAACTTCGTGATCTGTCGTTAGTAGGATTTACGGCTTCCCGTGCGTGTGTGTAGCAATAAGGAGCGGCAACTGTCTGTGCCACGGGAGGAAATATCGGTATAGGTCTGGCACTTGATTCGTGGCATTCATATCATGCCTTGCCTTTTTCTTGTCCTGTTCTTTAATTCACGCAGACGTGCATATTCACGGGCCAAGAGAACGAGAAAAAGTGAAAGACAAGAAAAATAAACTACAGAGGCCGGGGAGGATGATGGGCCGCAGAGACGGTCGCATAGAAGTGGGCGCCTATCCGTTGAACCCCATGTATACGTTGCTCTTCCATGCTCTGAGTGGTGAATTTCTCAAAGATTATGGGTCATTTGGAATGGGAATGGTAGGTTGCCATATGTACGGGCAAGGCAAGGCACCTGGTGACTGTTGCATGTAGTAGTTGAGTTGCGGTGACTGCTGCTAAATACGAGGAAGGTGTAGAGTAGTTGTGATGGTGTATTTGTTATGTTATATGCTAATAGGAATTGTTTATTGTGCATTAGGGCTTGTTCATTAATAAAGAGAGAGTGGAAGAAAGGTGAATGTTGTTCCCCATTTCTTGGAATCTCTCTCTCATTTCTTGTATTGCATCTAGATGATGTATAGACAGAGAGTCAGAGGTGGTGACAATCGACTACAGAGTCTCGCGGCGTCTAAGACAGCAGGTCACAGGCATGGCCCCTTTGAGAGGAGATTTAAGAAGCATCACGACGAATTGCTTTTACCGCTTGCTTTTTACCATTTTATTGGGCGCGTGGTTGTTTTATGCTGGATGGGAATTTGTGTATGTGTGTGTGTGTGCCGTATGCGCGGTGGGTGTGTCTAGGCCGGATAATGGGCCGGACGGGAAGATGCTTCCCGCTAGGTCACGATGGAGGCGGCCGCCTGCTACGATATTGCCTATCGTTTTTTTTGTTTTTGTTTGTTTTGTTCTTCTGTTTTATCGGATCGTTGCGGTTATATGGAGCCGTGCGTATTAGAGAGCTTAGACGCCGTCTGGCTTTCATGTTTTTGATATGAGCTGAGCGGCTATTTCCATTCGGTCTCAGCAAGCAACAACAACTGCATAAGCAAGGGATATGTTGCTGCGTGCATGATAGGCCATCAAAGTGCAGAAGAAAAGGAAAAGCGAAGGCGTGGCATTCACTCCTTGCAGTGAGATTTGAGCGAATTAGACGAGACCGCTGAGTCTTGTATGTGATGATCAACAACGCCTTAGACATCTTTGATTGAAATCTATCGTCAAGCCCTTTTCCTTGCCGTGCAAATGCCCAAACTCGTCTTCCACACACGCCTCTCATTTTTTTTTTCAACGGCCAAAGTCCGTCGACGGGATGGCCGTCATAGCAATAAGTGCTGCTGTTCCCTCTGTATTTCATGCTGTTACGCCCGTATGACGCCTGTTATCTGCCCTTGGCTGTCGTCAGTCTTTGCCTTGCCTTCTGTGCTTGCTCTCTCCTCCTTCCATCCATCTTCAACGGCTCGCCCCATCCTTCGTCCTCCGGGCACATCCGCCGTGCTATTGTGACGTTCGCCGACGTCACTGGCCGCACACCCTCTTCTGTCACTCTTGGCCCCCTCCCCGTCCCCGTCCCGGTCTCGTAGGACATCATGGGCCTAACAAAAAACCAACAGCGTACAACAAATCTGGGAGCAGCTAAAAGCGGCGTCGTCCCAAGAGAACCGATCCAATTCCGCCCTAGCTCGTGCTAGTTGGCTTTCTAAGCGCCGTTGAGCTCCCGCGAGGCGTGTCATTGGCTGGCGTGGATATGGCTGTCACCCACCCTCGGGTCCAGTGTCTTTGATTGGCCGGGATCTAAGCGCCCTGATATGTGGGCAGCGCACTGCTCAGTTGCAAAGCCTAAGCCGTCGCTACAGTCGCGTTCAGGGTGCCTTTCTGCCTGTGCTGCTGCGCCTACGGGCGTACATAGTTGTATGTATGTACAAGGGATACAGGCAGCATGTACATAAGGGGGTCGTCGTCGTCGTCCCTAGCAGTATGGACCCTTCGTGCCGTGACATCGGCCAGATATGTAGCGAGAATTTCTGCAGCCGCGCTAATTAGCCCGCTTAGCAGAAGCATGTAAGAGGGCCAGCAGGATATTATGCGCGTGGGAGAGGGCAGAGTAGACAGCGTCTGGCTCTCAGCTTCGCATCCAACAATGGAAGGTCTAATAAGCGAGTGTGGCTTCACGAGTTCAGCTCAGAAGACCAAAGGATCCCAGTCGTCATCTTCAGCTATTGCTAGCGAGGTCAACTGCCGAATGACCAGCAGTGGTAAATTCTCCTACTCGTGAGGCCTCTTATCCGCGAGACTAGCACTGGCTCACCGCTGGGCTGGGAACTCTAAGTTTCCATCTCTTTTATCCCTGTCTTCTAAGTATTAGCTTGCTTTCTATAATCACCTTCTCCAACACTCGACTTGCTCCTCGCACCACCAAGCTATGCAGTAGTCCAAGTAGCCGAGTTGTCAAGTAGCATTGTGACAGCTGGCCATGCGAGTCAGGCTATCTCGATGTCGCCATGTGGATTAGCTGGTCCCAATGTTCCGTCATACTAACAAGACTTTCGACCAATTCCTAGCTGATATGCGATCCTGAAACGAGAGGGACGCGGGGGGTCCTGGCAGTATCACTGTGCTGAAACCGGGTTAAGCCGACATTGGAAGAAAATAGATTGGAGAAGTCGTCCGTTTTACCTAGATGGAACATTCTGAGACAGTTTCCATTTTGCTGCTAAATTTGGAAACACGCACGCACAGCGTTGTGATGGAAGCAGATTTCTTCCAATATCACACAGAGCACTGTGGGCCCCCCTTCCATCAGCATCGGGCAACCAATCCCACAAGGTTCTCATTTTCGAGCCTAGCAGCTGCACATGGCAAATCAAGATCATCCCGCTGGGGCACTGATGGCCGGGTTCGTGGTGGAGGGGCGGTCTATTTTGTATGTGCACGCCTCCCTCTCCACCATTTACCCTCCATCACGATTGGAATTTGCATGCTTTTTTCCTTCCATTCCCACTTGGAGGCATATACTGTACAAGCCCATAAGCGACTGGGTGGGCAAGGCTAGCCAAGTTCTCTGATTTCCTTTGCGACGGCATTGCAGAGAGCAACTTTGACCCCGGCACCCGTGAGAACGTGGATCCACAGCCGCTGCGTGTCGCTTAGCCGGTCGTTTGCACTCTTGACCTCTACAAACATGGCCTCGCCTCTTGCCTTTCCTGGCTCTTCGTTCTGAGCTTTCTGAGCTTCCGCGCCGTTGTTTTCCGCCATTCTCCAGAGGATGAGGTCCGGGATGCCTCCACCTCGTTGCCTGTATTCCTGTGCCATCACCTTGCATAAAGCGGCTAGAGCGCTACCTTCGAAGCAGCGTACTAGCTCTAACAAGTCCTCCACTTCAAAATCCCAATTGAGCCCTATCACACTTGTTTTTCGCTCGTGCTCCCTTTCCCACACCCCACGTAGCAGCCGTTCGCCCTCTCCGTTGGCAATCTCAACAAGTCGATGGTTGATTTCCGAAATTCGAGCCGGGAAGAAGGCGTCTGTATGCAAGTCCAGGGGGCAAGTCTGGAAAGCCGTCTGGAAAACGTTGGGGATATAGAGAAACATAATGTCGTAGAACAGATAGGCAAACAGGGTGCGGATGATACCCCCTTCAGCATGGTATCCCTTCCACCCCTGTGACTGGAAGTGACTCAAGCACATCTCTTCCACGGTGCATTCACCGCCAGAGTCCGACTCGTCCAGCCAAATGGTTCTTGTGCTTAGAGCCTGGCCTCCCAGCTTCGGTGGGGTATTTCGCTTCAACTGGATTCCCTCAACGGACAGTTCCAAGGGGTCAGCAAGGCGTACATGTCCAAAATCATGCTGAAGACGCTTGGGGATGCGGAGTTTCTTCTCTAGCTTGACTAATCGTTTTTGCAAATCGTAGTGATGTATGAGATGGCAATCCGGATCTTGGAGGCCTGCCTCACAAGTTGAGACCGCTGTTGTCCTCCATCGCTTCTTTTGTTGCTCCAAGTCATGAGAAGTGGGATCTGGATCAAGGCTAGGCATATAGTGCTCCTCTAAGAGAGCTTTGCGTTGGTACCACGAGCCTCTTCGGGCTAAGTGAAAGAGCCGTTGGTCCAAAAGTTCAGTCAAAAGCTGATGCTCCTTCAGATGATTCTTGAGCTTGCCAAACACAAATGCAGCCTTTACAATTATGCGAGTATATGAGTGACCGGGGTTGAATCTTCTGAGGTACGCCCCTTCTCCCATCTCGTAAAACTTTCGCTCTTTCTCGGTTTCTTCTTGGACCAGAGCACTCCACCGGGGGTACACCTTTTCAAAGATATCAAGTATATGATCTGAGCCCTTTTCATCCAGTGGTCCATTGGATTCAAGAATGGTGTCAACGTCTGCTTCCATGCGTATTGCGGCCTCAAATTCTAACAACCGAGCTCGAGAGGAAAATATCGTTGAAGATCGAGAAACAATGTACTCGGGGAAATTCCGTCTGGCAATCTTTGCCAGTATGATTGTCGTCAGTGACTTCTCCGTCCATTCTGTAGATCTGTAAAAAACCAAGTGCACTCTTTCGAAAAGCTTGAAGGTAGCTGGAGATATTCGTATACAGGGGCCAACAATAGCAAGGATTTTAGCTAAGAAGTGCTGTTGACGGTTGGAATCTTCTCTCTTAAGCTTTGAAGCCGTTTGGACAGGATGGTCTGCCCTTTTAGAAGCGCTCGAATCCGCATTATTTTGCCTACTGATACCTAGAGCCATCAGCCCGGCTTGCTGCTGGCTCATCCGGCACAAAGCCTTGATCATGTCCAATTTGGTTTTTCCATGGACTTTGGCTTCTTTGGCAATCGCCTTGAGCTCATCAAGGTACAGAAGCGATGCGGCTTCTTCGACTGTGTCGATGTAGTCCTCAGACGCATCTGCAAACGTAAAAGTATTGCCATCGTCCGGGTCTTCTAGCCCAACGCTTGATGGCTCAAGTTGAACTGGCGGACTGCTTGCGACCTCCGATGATAGAGTTCTGCGTTCTTGAAGCGTAGCAATAGCCGTAGCATGATCTGAAATATCGTTGAAATAACCTAAGCGCGATGACCGATGCCAGGCTGCAGTCTTTCGGAGAAACAGGCGAACATATCTGTCCCATTCAATAAGTATACGCAGGGTTAGCCATTAAGGCTACTGATACTTACAAATACTGCGCTTCATAATTCAGACTCTTCCATTGGTTGAAAATCTCAAGTTCTTTACTACTAAAAAGAGACGATTCCTCTTCCAAGACGGTATCTAGTGTGAGATTGAATGCATCCACGTATATCGAGCTCCGGCCTTTGATCCATAGAGGAGCTATTTTCTTGTTTGGGATTTCCTCCCCGGCGTTGCTTTGGGAAGATTTAAGAGTCTCATACTCTTCAATTGCCTCTTGGCTGGCCTCGGTTGGCGGCAGTGCATTCTCAAAGTCAGTGACTCGCTCTTTGGCTCGGTGCCGGTCCTTTTCATCAGATAATGCCTCTTCCGACAAAATTTCACTCGGTTCATGCTCGAGCACAAGTTCAATGGGATCTTCTGATCCTGATTCGGATTCAGAATCAGAGACTTCGTCTCTCTTTAGACGTTTGGTCGGTCTCTCCACTGCCAACGACGCATTCTGCAGCGGGCGCGCGTTGCTCTGAGTTTCGACTTCTCCCCTTGGCAGCCGTTTTACAAAAGCATCCATAATAGACCCATTTCAAGAAAGAAAACAAGAGTATTGCCTCTTCGCTGCAAATCGAACGCCAAAAGAGCTGATATTGTTCTGCACAGGAAGAGAGGCAGTCGACGCGGCGGTCCGTGAACGAACTACACGCGAAGTCAGCTGACCCCCTTTAAGCACCTCCAAGCTCAGTCCCCACCGCAACAGCTTCCTGGAAGTGGCATGGCAGCTTTCTCTATCCCTCTCTCCAGCTTGCAAACAACCAATTGGCAGCGGCTGCACTCCGTGATCATGGCAGACGAGGATGCCAGAACGACGCTGGATGTGCCCCAGGTATCCGTTCCCAATAATGAGGCACCATCAACGCAGCAAAACCAAGGGCACGGCACGCCGCAACGAGACGTCGTGATGGCCGATGTGCCAGCGGATCAAGCAGTAAGACGGCTCCATAATCTTCTACCTCACGATATAAACAGAGTTTTTTTCTTTTTTTTTTTTTACTCTTCAAGAGCCCTGCCAATCGACTGACCGTTTCTAGCAGTCACCAGCACCCGCAGCTTTTGCGCCAAGTCCTGCTCCTGGACGTACGGGAACACCAGCGCATGGCTCTAGAGCCGCCTCAGCGCATCCGGATCCTGGTTTTACGATGCCGACAGAGGCGTCTTTACATGGCGACTCGACACGCCGATATTTGAATACGAAGGTCACTGGCGCTTTATTGGAAGGAATGAAAATGCTGGCTAAGGAAAAGTAGGTTGTCCTGGCGGTTGTCATTCTTGCCCAAGCTGTCGCTTTCTAACATATGTATGCATGTAGGCCAGAAGACCCTCTTCGAGTTTTGGGCGAATATCTTATACAAAAGTCAAAAGAATTGGAAAGTACGGGGTGATTTGGGATTCATTTCAAATAGCATATTTAGATCATGGGACTAGGCACGTTGAAGGCGTTGAGGATTTCGTATTACGGATCAGAGATATTAGGATACCCAGAGCACATCTATATCATGAGCAGTCCAATTTGCTTTCGATTAGGAGCATTTTGACTGCCAGCTTGGTCCTAAAGACCGGCGCAGAAGAATCGTAGCTCTAAATGCAGCTTTTTCATATATGACCCAAACTCCATGACCCGAGAAGCCTCCACGACCATGACCAAATAACCCGTCGCTTTTTGTTTTAGATTTCCGCTATTTAAGCGACGATGGTGCTGGCGGTGGCGGACTCGTACTTCCAGGTAGGGGGAAGGACACCGACGGTCTTGTAGTAACGAGCCAGACGGTGGATACGGGACTCGATCAGAATGAGGCGGAACTTGGAGTCCTTGTCCTTGCGGTTGCGCTCAAGGTGCTTGCGGACAGCGACAGCCTAGTGGTTGATTGATTGTCAGTTTCGAGTTGCTCAAAGATGGAAGAAAAAGTTTCATGCAGCCGCAGTGGTCTCACCTTCTTGATCAGCATGTACAGGTCCTCAGGAAGATCAGGGGCGAGGCCTATAAAAGATCACTCTGTCAGTCTAAACCGCACAGAGGCACATGAGATGTCTCATGAAAGAATGTATGTAAAGACAGATGCACGTTCTGCACGTATGCGCCGTTCGTACACCACACTCTCCATGTCGTTCAGGGTTTCGTACCGTTGGACTTGAGGATACGCAGGATTCGGTTACCTGTTATTTCGCAGTTAGTCAAAAGTTGCCCCCATTGAACCTTCCAAACGTCCGCATCTCGTCAAAACATACCAGTGACAACCTTGACCTGGGTGATTCCGTGGGAGTCACGGAGAACAACACCGATCTGAGAAGGAGTGGCACCCTTCTTGGCCAGCTTGCAGATCTGGTCAACGACCTGCTCGGGAGTGGTCTTCAACCATGAGGGAGCGGATCGAGAGTAGGGGAGCGCGGAGGCTGAAATGCCCTTGCCCTTGCTGTGAAGTCTACCCATCTTGTCGGATTTGGTGGTATTTGCTGACGATGCAAAAAGTTGTCGAGGAGCCGGTCGCGAAGTTGCTAAAGCAGGTATCAATTAGGTCGTGTGGGGGGGAAGTTGAAAAATTCGCTTAGTTAGGGCAAAAGAGCGGGAATGCACCGTGTGTGGCTCGTGGTTGGTGGCTAGTGAAGCCCGATAACCCAATCTCTGCTGCATCACGTGATCTAATCAGCGGCTTCACGATGGCTCAGTTTTGCTTCTGAAATTTTGACCCGCAGCGCTATCTTCCTTTCAATTTTTTTCTTTTGGTCTGCCGGCTGTTGCTTTATCTCGACAACAGCCTCCCTTGATATATCTGCTATGAAAACATGCTTACACGATGACCTGAAGAAGGACACCGTATGGCAAGCAGACGGTACTGAACTGGTAAGCCGATTTCTACTTTTTAAACATACACTATGACAACGCGGCGCCTACATGATGACCCAACACATTTGTTTACTTATTCTGGTACCTCTTATGTTAGTTTGAGGTGGCTTCATGTCATCTCATTCGATGAATGGAAAGGACTTCTGATCCAAGCGCTTTTTCCTCTCATTTATTCTTATAAAGATTGCTTGATGAGACATCGCTAATACAAATCATACAGATTATAGAATCGACGTATTATAGCGATAGAACCGTAGTAAAATTAATGACACAATGGCGTTCCAAATTCGCTTACCACCTAAGATTTGATCCCTTGTTCGTTCTTCGCACCCACAGCCAAGCAAAACACACAAACGCCATAGCCTTTTTTTCTTGTTTCAAGCCCGTGATTTTACGTTGGAACAAAATATGTTGACGTATATCTGCAACAACTTCGCCCTTAAACCAAAGTCCCCATAATAATTCCCATGGCTGCAGATGTGACTGTCACGAGCTACTGAACTACTTCGCCTAAATATTACACTGCCTTTACCAAGCGCCTACTTCAAAGTTTTCCTACCGAGAGTTAGCGGTTGACGGATTTTGAATAGCAGGGACGGGGATTACAAACCTCTGGGAAATAAGTTGCCACAACGGTCCTGTCCGCAAACTTTCTACCAGCGAGAGCAGTAAGAGCTTTGGTAGCTGACTCTTCGGAATCATACTTTACGTAGATCTTGCCTACGCCGGCAGATTGTCTGCTACCGCCAGATGGTCTAGGGACCTTGAGCTCCACGACTTTGCCGAATTTGGCACACTCATCCTGGACATCTTCGCAGATTTCTGTTTTGTCTTGGGTTAGAGTGCTGATGACAGTAAACATGACAAGCTCACATACCTTCATAGTCGTCGTTGTCTATCAGCTCCTCAGGAGTGACCATGTTCAGAAGCTGAATAACAGAGCTCCTCTCAATATCATTGGAGGTTTGGGAGGCGAGACCACTGATAGCAGTGATGCCCACGTCGAAATTGGCGACCTGGGTAGGTCCAATGCTGGCTTTTGTCACCTTTAGCTTCTTGCCACCGACATCCATTCCGTTTAGGCTGTTCAGAGCAGGCTCATTTGCTAAGGAAGGCTCAAGGTATTCGGTAAACGCAATTCCCTTGATTACGAGTCAGCTCATCATACAATAAAAAGATGTCTGTAAATCAAGCCCGACTCACCCTGGATTCTTCGGTGCTTTGGTCTTTCACCAAGACAAAAGCTTTGGGCTTGCCAAAGGCAGCCAGAAGTTCAATAACTTGTTCTTCGGTGAGGAATGAGGGAATGTTAGTAATACAAAGCTTATGCACGGTGTCAGGGACGACATTTGAGATGACCTCGGGGTCGAAAGGCATCTCGTCTGGTAGAGCGGGCATGACATAGTCTTTGGGTCGGCGAATGTTCAAGCCAGAGTTTACGCCATCGGCTGTACCATTCATCGCATCGTCAGCCTCCATTGAAATGCCGTCCAAGGCGAGCGCAACAGTTGCGTCAGACGCATTTCTGAATTCCAAGACTGCAAATGCTCGGTCTGCGGAGAACTGGCAAAGGACACAAGGATCGGAGCTTTCAATGACGTTTAGGCCGTTCAGTTGCAGGTTGAAGAATGAAATCAAAGCATCTTCGCTAGCGCCACTAGGAACATTGGAAACAAGAAGACGCTTTGCCTGGCGAGAGTTGCTGGCTTTGAGACCTGCGCTAGTGACTTGGCCACCAGGCTGGGTCATGAAGGCCTGCAGCTTTGTTGGGTCCATTGGTTGTTGGCGAGGAGCACCTGGAAGAGGAAACATTCCAGAAAGCTTGGCTTGCTCAGCCGTCACGAGGTCATAACCAGGAGGCTTGATATCCCACTGTGTAAGGCGTCGCTTTCGCTCGAGGATAGGGATGACATCCGTCAAATCTGGGGTGGGTTCTCTTTTCTTCGGAGGTGATGGACTGCGACGTGGCTGCTGCTGCTCTTGCTGTCTTGCAAATCCATCATCGCGCCTGTCTCGTCCTCCTCTTCGACGATCATCGTAAGGCTCTCGCTCTCGTCGGCTAGGTCTCTCGTCATCGTCACGTCGGGCGTCTCTGCGGTAGGAACCTCGGTCACGGTCCCAATCGCGATCGCCGCGGCGGTCACCGCGACCTTCCCCGCGACCTTCCCCACGACCGTCCCCACGACCGTCCCCACGACCGTCCCCGCGACCGTCGCGCGCCGATGAGTATCTGTCCTCACGTTCTCTATCACGGTGGCTGCGACTTGAAGAGTATGCGTCAACGTCTCCCTCTGTGCGGCGATGGCTGCGGTGATCTGGTGATCGAGAGCGTCGGCGATCACGGTCTCCTCTATGTCGGTCACGACGATCGTCTCGTTCGCCTCTTGAGCCCTACATTCAATAAACATTAGATATGGTGGGTAGAAGCGGCAATTGGCATACGAACACCATAATCTCGGTTCCTTCGCCCCCCATCTTATTGACGCGACACTTGGTTAGCAAAAGGACCAATTGAGGCACAACTGAGAACGCGTGTCCTACCTCGAGACGAGTAACTATCGCCGTTCATGGCTGCGATATCTTCTCGCAAACGGTAGCGATCGGACAGCTCTTTGAAATTGATGATGGCGAGCTCTGTGGTGGAGCAGAAACGTCAATGAAGTTGCCGCAAGACATCCAGGCCAAAAGCTCCTTTGCTAATACTTTTGCATGGAGGCGAGGCTGGAGCTTTTTTGCAATATGTGCGCTATGCCCCTTCAGTGCTAGCAGGCCATTGTGCGCTGGAAGGGTCTGCCGGATTATCTGCGGCTAGTGGCTAGAGACGCGTGCAAGGCCCCATAGCGGTGGCCACTATCAACGACTCGGCGCCTGCGATACAGCGCCACTATTGCAGTGTTCCGCCCTCTATAGATGCCGCTAACAGAACAAGTGCTACTCATGTAGCAGCCATTTGTCGGTACTATTTTATGATATTCCTTGTATTCATCTCACTTTTTATCGATACATATCACAGATTCGAACCCATTCAGGCTATTATGGCGATGAAACGGGTTGTCGATTGGCGCAAGTTGCCGGTAAGCCTCACCGAGCTCTGTATCGACACAACGCTGCGATGCGGCCAGTCATTCAGGTGGCGAAAGCTCAACGACGAATGGTTGGTACCAGTAACCTATTGTCCATTTGTACTTGATTGACACATCTAGGATATGCACATTACACGGGAGAATATTGGCTTTGAAGCAAGACGAAACTCATTTGCACTACAAGGTCACCTGGCCAGAACGTCAAGGAGAACGCTCTTCGCCTAGCTCCTCTACCAAAGATTTACCACTCAGAAAGGACGATACTGAGGATCTCCTTCGCCATTACTTTAGCTTGGATATAGATCTCGCCTCCTTGTATCAGCAGTGGTCGAAAGATGATCCAAATTTTCGCAAAAAGGCACCCAAATTTGCAGGAGTGCGCATTCTAAACCAGGACGCATGGGAGGCGCTGATATGCTTCATATGCAGCAGCAACAATAACATTTCTCGAATCTCCCAAATGGTTAGCACTCCCATATGCCATATTACAGACAATTTGCGCTGACAAACATCCAGGTACACAAGCTTTGCAAGCACTATGGCCCGTTTATTGGTCATGTAGATGGAGAAGCCATGCATGACTTCCCTACTCCAGAGTCTCTGAATCAAAAGAAAGTTGAGGCTCATTTAAGAGAACTCGGCTTTGGGTACCGTGCCAAGTATATCGCAGAGACGGCTCGCATTATTGCCCAGGATAAACCCTCGGCATGGCTCGACTCTCTACGCAACCCAGATTTTCCTGCATTCAACGCCGTTGCAGTAGCAGATAGACCATCATCTACCTACAAAGACGCCCAGTCTGCGCTACTCTCTCTCACCGGCGTGGGCCCAAAGGTGGCCGACTGTGTCTGCTTGATGGGCCTAGGGTGGGGAGAATCGGTGCCGGTGGACACACACGTCCTACAGATTGCCCAGCGAGATTATCGTTTTGGCAAAAAGGGGCCTAAAACGATAAACAAGGCCATGTACGACGCGATTGGTGACCATTTTCGAAGAATATGGGGCAAATATGCGGGCTGGGCTCATTCAGTCTTGTTCACAGCCGATTTACGAGAGTTTTCAAGTCGCATGAAAGAAGAAAAGGGCGAAGGAATTTTTATTAAAGAAGAGATTTTAGCTGCAGAAGAGATACCAAAGGGGAAGAGGAAAGCAACCGTGGAAATTGAGAAAAAGGTACATGTGAAGGAGGAGGATGATACGAAGGAGACAGTAATATTGGAAATAGACACAACAGTTAAAAGGCGACGCACTAGGGCTCGGCCATGATAATTTACAGCAATTAATTTGCGTTTTAATAGATAAGATATATGAACTCATTCTTTCATAATTCAACATAGGCCTTAAAGACCGGTGCCCTAAAGGCTGTGACCAATTCCAGATTCGGTCAAAATACTAGCTAGATCACCTTGCAATATGAGTTTTCCCAGGGTACATGAAGTTCTCGCCAATGATTCAGCAGGAGAGGTCTTGTTGCAATCAAGACTTCAATTGGATATTAACCATCGATATGCCTAATTTTACACAAAATTAAAAACATCATCCGTTTCTTTTTCTTTCTTTTATGAATGAATAGTTTCGTCTCCCAAGCACTAAGAGCGCGTGGCGCGTCGGCTAAATTTCGGCTAAATAATTCCTGGCGGTAGACTTTTTGCCGCTTCAATTTCGAGCTTCGCTTGCAGTCCCTATTCCAACCTCAGCCCTCTCAGCAGCACATCTCCATGCGCAGCGATCTCGTTGGAACCACTTCAAGCACGTTAGAACCGGGATGAAGCGAGAAGTTCGATGAGCCAAGATGTCTGATGCAGATTTCGAGACGATCCAGCGGCTCCAGCAGGAGCGCAACGCTGCGGCAGCTGCCATGAAAAGCTCCCGCGCGTTGACATCCTCAAATCAACGCAATGACTCGACGAAGCAGAGGCTCACCGACAGCGCCGATAATGACCTGTACGACCGAAAAGAAGCCGACAAGTTTGCAGGATACCACACATCTCTGCCCATGGGAGATGACGATGAGATGGAGGATGGAGACAACACGCGTAGGCTCGTTGGTCAGTACACGGCTTCCCGCGAAATCATTGACGAGTTTGCCCGCGGCGATGGCGTCGAGGAAGACGATATTCTGGCTGGCAAAGGCGAGAAGAGCAACCGCATCACGGATCGTGAGACCGATTATCAGAAGCGAAGGTTCAATCGTGTGCTCACGCCGACTCGAGCCGACCCTTTTGCTCAAAACAGACAAGCTGGTGCCGCAGAGGATGGGACGAACTACCGAGAAATCATGGAGATTCGTGAGCTTGAACGTGAAGAGGAGCGTGTGATGCGGGCTATCCAGTCGAAGCCGGCTAATGGCGATGAGGATGATGAACCCAAACCGACACTCATCGATCACGACAAGGAAAACGCAGAGGCAGGCTCCACGGAAGCGGTCACGTCAGTTCGCAAGCGAAAGAAGAGATGGGACGTATCTTCAACGCCTGCTGAAGAAGAAGAATCCAAGGAAGAGAATGGAACGGGGGCAAAGCCTAAGCGGTCTCGATGGGATCAGACACCAGCTGTTTCTGGCCCCGGTGCCATGGAAGCCCCCAAAAAACGCTCGCGATGGGATCAAGCGCCATCCGCAACCCCGATGGGCAACCAGGGACTAGCAACTCCCATGCATCAGCCGCAGACAGTTGCAATGCCTACAACCTTTGGAACTGATATTTCTGGACGAAATATGCCCCTGAGCGACGAGGAGCTTGATTTACTCTTGCCTGGCGAGAATGAAGGTTACAAGGTCCTAGAACCTCCTCCTGGATATGAACCTGTTCGGGCCCCAACTCACAAAATGATGGCGACTCCCGCGCCTCAGACCGGCTTCACGATGCAGGACCCTGACCAAGTCGGACTCGGTGGAAAGCCAATGCCGGCAGAAATTCCGGGAGTCGGAGACCTACAGTTTTTCAAGCCCGAAGACATGGCTTACTTTGGCAAGCTGACAGACGGATCTGACGAAAACGCCCTAAGCGTAGATGAGCTGAAAGAGCGAAAGATTATGAGACTGCTTCTCAAAATCAAGAATGGAACCCCGCCTATGCGAAAGACAGCCCTTCGACAAATCACGGATAACGCAAGACAGTTTGGTGCCGGTGCCCTTTTTGACCAGATTCTCCCTCTTCTCATGGAAAAGACACTGGAGGATCAGGAACGCCATTTGCTGGTCAAAGTCATCGACAGAATCCTCTACAAGCTGGACGACTTGGTCCGCCCATACGTACACAAAATTCTCGTTGTTATCGAACCGCTGCTGATTGATCAAGACTACTACGCTCGAGTCGAAGGTCGTGAGATTATTTCCAATCTTAGCAAAGCCGCAGGTCTCGCCACCATGATCAGCACAATGCGGCCCGATATCGACCACGTCGACGAGTATGTTCGAAACACAACCGCCAGAGCATTCGCGGTTGTGGCATCCGCCCTCGGCATTCCCGCTTTACTACCTTTCCTCAGAGCTGTCTGCCGAAGCAAGAAGTCATGGCAAGCCAGGCATACCGGTGTCAAGATTGTGCAGCAGATTCCCATCCTGATGGGATGTGCAGTTCTCCCCCACTTGAAAGGTCTGGTCGACTGCATCGCACCTAATCTTAGTGATGACCAGACCAAGGTCAGGACAGTCACCAGTTTGGCCATTGCAGCTCTTGCAGAAGCCTCCAACCCCTATGGTATCGAGAGCTTCGACGACATCTTAAACCCGCTGTGGACTGGTGCTCGCAAACAGAGAGGAAAGGGACTGGCTGGCTTTCTCAAAGCCGTGGGATACATCATTCCTCTCATGGACGAAGAGTACGCAAACTACTATACCAGCCAGATTATGGAGATTCTACTGCGAGAGTTTTCCTCCCCCGATGAAGAGATGAAGAAGGTGGTCTTGAAGGTGGTGTCTCAATGTGCAGGTACAGAGGGAGTAACGGCCGGCTACCTAAAGGAGCACGTTTTGGATGAGTTTTTCAAGAGTTTCTGGGTACGACGAATGGCTCTGGACAAGAGAAATTATAGACAAGTTGTGGAAACCACGGTCGACATTGGCCAGAAAGTCGGTGTGAGTGAGATTATCGAGAGAATCGTCAACAATCTCAAAGATGAAAGCGAGGCCTACCGAAAGATGACTGTTGAGACTGTCGAAAAGATTGTAGCCAGTCTGGGTGCTGCGGACATTGGCGAGCGACTTGAGGAACGTCTGATTGATGGAATTCTTCATGCCTTCCAAGAGCAAAGCGTTGAGGATATCGTTATGCTCAATGGTTTCGGATCCGTCGTTAACGCTCTAGGAGCGCGCTGCAAACCATACCTACCACAAATCGTCAGCACAATCCTGTGGAGATTGAACAATAAGTCAGCCACCGTTCGTCAGCAGGCAGCGGATCTGATTTCTCGGATCGCCATGGTGATGAAGCAGTGCGGAGAAGATGCTCTCATGGGCAAGTTGGGAGTTGTGCTGTATGAGTACCTCGGAGAAGAATATCCCGAGGTTCTTGGATCGATTCTGGGAGCCCTGCGGTCCATTGTCACTGTTGTGGGTATCTCTCAGATGCAGCCTCCCATCAAGGACTTGCTCCCACGCTTGACCCCTATTCTACGAAACAGACACGAAAAGGTGCAGGAAAACACCATCGATCTGGTCGGACGTATTGCCGACCGTGGTCCTGAGAGCGTCAATGCTCGAGAGTGGATGAGAATATGCTTTGAGCTTCTTGACATGCTCAAGGCGCACAAAAAGGGAATTCGAAGAGCGGCAAACAACACATTCGGTTTCATTGCCAAGGCCATTGGTCCCCAGGACGTCTTGGCCACACTGCTGAACAACTTGAGAGTGCAAGAGAGACAGTCTCGTGTCAACACCGCTGTTGCTATTGGTATCGTCGCCGAAACTTGTGCTCCTTTCACTGTCCTTCCAGCTCTGATGAATGAATATCGTGTGCCAGAGCTCAATGTCCAAAACGGCGTGCTCAAATCTCTATCCTTCTTATTCGAGTATATTGGTGAAATGGCAAAGGATTACGTCTATGCCGTTACACCGCTTCTCGAAGATGCTCTTACCGATCGAGATCAGGTTCATCGACAAACTGCCGCCTCAGTTGTCAAGCACATTGCTCTCGGAGTGGTTGGCCTTGGCTGTGAAGATGCCATGATTCACCTGCTCAACTTACTTTATCCTAATCTATTCGAGACTAGCCCCCACGTCATTGACCGCATCATCGAAGCTATCGAGGCCATTCGTGTTGCCGCGGGTCCCGGTCTGGTGATGAACTACGTCTGGGCTGGACTCTTCCATCCTGCGAGAAAAGTGCGGACACCTTACTGGAGGCTGTACAACGATGCGTACGTAGCGGCTGCCGATTCCATGGTTCCATATTATCCTAATTTGGACGACGAAACTCTGGACCGACCAGAACTGGCCATTATCCTGTAGCTTTTTGACAAGACTTCGCTGCGATATGGGCAATAGCTTGGATGGAAAATACGAGAGAGAGGATTCGGAATTTGCTATGAATTGCGTTTGTTTGAATTGTAATAATGTATAGGAGTGGATTACGGTGGTATGCGTTGGGCGTTCTTTTACTGCTAGATTACCCTAAAAATGACGAACATGTTTATCGACTCGTCCTATAGCAATTTTATGCAAGTTGTTGGCAAAGCAACAGTGCTTCAGAGTGAAACTTTGTACTCAAATCTGTCAATTGATGAACTAATTAGGTTCAACTCGCTGCGTTGGAGTGCTAACTCTTCCAGTCTACGCGTGAGGAGTATATCTGGATTGCATTATTTGGCCAGCGCAAAGACCAGGACAATCCCTGGTCTCCAAGCTGTTTATGGACATGAAATACAAGTATATTACTAATGGATTTATCTGATCCCACCCCTAAATTGGTAAATTGATATAGAGTGATACAGTGGCTGAGATGAGATGTAAGAGATGAAGTAACGCCATTTTGAATAGATATCCAGGACTATGTTCACCTGTGGTAACTACTACGTTACAAGAGCCATGATAGTCTCTTCAAATAATCTCTTCGTATGTCACTTGATCTCTCAATGTGGTTTGATTATCGCTGGGGCTCAAGTATCTTTCATTTCATGTGCATCACATGAGACAACGTTGCGTTAGTTAGCCAGCTAACTTGCTAGTTCCAACACAAGTAAACAACACTATAAGAGACTGGAGAGGAGTATATAGACGAGATCAATTAACCAAAAACGGATGGTAATCTCGAAAGAGACATCAGTTC